GCAAATATTTGGTAGATTTTCCATAATTTGTACATCAGCTATATTAAAGCCTACACTTTTGGGGTCACAAATAGTTTTCACAACAAGTTTTATTAGATTCTCATTAAGCAGCTCTTTCTCAAGCAGCTAGAAATAATAAGATAAAAATGAGATAGACAAGTACTTTTAATTTGAAAAATTTATCATTTACATTTATTTTTAAGATTTATCCTTAAATATACCATCTCTCTGTGAACCCCCCTGAAATAATATTTTTGTTCAATCTACATTTCATTTTTGTACAATTTTTCAAAAGTTAAAGAATCTATTTAAAGTGTATTATGTAAGCTATATGTTTATAGATAATAACTGGATCAAATTTTCAAGAACACCTATGACATTTATTAAAGATAGCTGAGGGGTAATAGTTCTACTATATTCTAACAGTATCTTCAGCATGCCCAATGACAACTAGTGGGCATAGTTTCAACAAACTGCTCATGATATTATCATCTTCATGTGGGGCAAAAATATATTTCTCTGGGCTTGCAAATAAACACCATGGAGTTCTTTAATCAGTAAATTAATTCAGCTCATTCAGGACAGTGCCAGAAAAATTACAAAAGGCGTTGGCCTGAATTTCAGAAGGCAGTCAACAAAGGCAATGTAGAATATGAAGACATTTTTAAAATGACACAATACTCTTTTACTATTATAATTCCACCCAAGCTATACCACAAATGTATCTTAAATCTATCTTATGTGCCCATAGTATCATTCCTAAATCAGAAAGTCTTATTCACTCATGCCTTACCTACCTTATACCTAGATTACTGCAATATGCTCTATATGAGGCTTGAAGCTACATCTGGTTGAGGATACGGCAATACAGGTAGTTATGGGTACATCACAGTACCATGCAGGTATTTATGGTACAGCCTGAGACAACATGCAACATCACTACTTTACAAAATACAGATTGAATGTGGACTTCCAGGTACAATCCAAGATGCTGGACCTTTTGGCACAGTATCCAGTCCTGTGCAAGATTGCTTATATCCAATTACTGCTATTTGTCTCATAAGATCTGATAGTTGACATGCTCCAATACCATTACTTAAGTATTATTTAATACAGGAGTCCCCAACCCCAGGGCTGTGGTCCATCCGGAACCAGGCTGAGCAAGCAGCGGGCACGCGCACACAGCTCCACTTCCACACCTGCTGCTTGCATGGAACCATACCCTCGTCTCCCTGCTGCCATCATTGGTGGTCCACAAAGTTGGAAAGGTTGGGGACCGCTGATCTAATAGAACCTAGGAGATATGCCTTCTCTATCATCATATCCACCCTATGGAATAACAGTAACCTTATAAATTTTGATGCCCACTGCTTTTTATTTTTATTTTATTTATTTATTTTATTTATTTATTTATTTCATTTATACCCCGCCCTTCTCCCGGAGGACTCAGGGCGGCTTACAGCCAGTTTAAAACAATCCCACATAAATACCAAATACAAATCTAAAATAATTAAAAATAAAAATTTGAATTGGCCGCTCTATTAAAATTTTGTTAAAACCAATTAAAATACCCCTAGGCCAGTCCTGCCTGCTGAAACAGCCAAGTCTTGAGGGCGCGGCGGAAGGAGGGGAGATCCGGAATCACCCGGATCTCTGGGGGCAGCTCGTTCCAGAGGGTGGGCGCTCCGACAGAGAAGGCTCTCCCCCTGGGGGTCGCCAAC